AGTCAATGGTTCGGAGCGGCCCTGAAGATTTTCCGCAGATACACGGAATTCATACGTGGTTCCTTCAAGCAATCTTGGCACAGTAGCATGATTATATTTGGGATTAACATGTGTAACTGCTGGTACCCAACCGCCGCCATGCGTGAGATCGCGTTTTTCAATGACATATCCACTGTAAAAAAAAAAGAATATACGTGAGAAATTATTTCATATGTTATTATTATAATCTTTTCTCCTGTTTAAATAAAAAAAACTACTTTTCCTGTAAAATTTACTTACGTGAGTTCGCTGCCTCCATTGTCTTTAGGAGGCTTCCACGACAATGTAACGGACTGGCTGGTGATTTCCTCATACTCTAAAGGACCTTCCGGTGGTCCCGGTTTATCTAGGACGGTTACTTGGAAACTGCCCTCGTCTATACCGCTGCTATTTTTCAACAAAAGATGATATAATCCCGAATCGGACCTCTTGGCATTGACAATGTGCACGATCGTGTGATAACCGATCGACGTGATCGTTGTCCTGTCGTTGGAAGTCAATTCGTTGCTTCCTACGCTCCACGTTGCCTCCGGCGTCGGCTCGCCGACGAAGTCGATGTCCACGTGAAAGATGAGTCCAGCCTTAATACGAACGTCTTGCAAGGGTGTCTTGATCTTTGGAGCCACTAAAGAAATTTTAAAAAATTGAATTGTTTATCCAAAGCAAACGAGTATAAATTAAAATGCTTTTAAAATTCAAAATATTATAAAATAATAATAAAATTTAATAAAATTTAGGAATGTAATGTTGTCTCGCTATAATTTTTAATCAACGCTTTTCACTTAATTGAATGAAAATGTATAACTTACAATAACGAGGTTTGGCAGTGACAAGATCACTGGGCTCCGATGGTTCGGATTGACCGGCGGCGTTGACAGCAATCACACGGAACTCGTATTCCTGGCCTTCCGTCAAGTCCGGAACAGTCGTGCTGTTTTGATCTTTCGGTACGTGCACTGCGTTTACCCAGTAAGGACTGCCCTTTTCCTTCTTCTGAACAATGTATCCCGTGATCGGCGATCCACCGTCGTTCTTCGGTACCGGCCATTGTAGATCCACGTGGTCCTTGTCCCAATCTGTGATTTGCGGTTTGCCAGGCGCGTCTGGTTCATCTGAAAGTCAGACATAAAACATATATTTATAAATAATATATTAAAATGTTTCAATATATTATTACTTGTTCATATAAGTTTTTAACTTCAAATTTTATGGTGTAAAATTTTTTTCACTCACCAAATTCGTTCTTTGCAATGATGCTCTTCGTTGTCTCAAGCGGATCGGATTCTCCGATGTTGTTAACAGCCTTGACACGGAATAGATATTCTTTGCGATGAGTGAGACGGCTGACTTCATGACTAAGTACCATACTCATGCCGGCGTCGGACCAAGTTCCACGGGACAAGTCCATCTTTTCGATGACATAATGCAGGATAGGACTGCCACCATCGTCGAGAGGATGTCCCCAAGTTAAATGACAACCCTCTTTTGTGACATTGCTGACTTCCAAAGGTTTTTCCGGAGGTCCTGGTCTGTCGAGGACAGTGACTCTTGCACTGGCGCTAAAAATTTAATTGTTTGTTTAATTAATTATCATCAGGAATATTAAATTATATCAGTAAAAAGTAAATTTAATTCATCATAAGAATTTTAATAAAATTTAGTTAATTTAGTTAATTTTTCAAGTACCTGAAATTGCCATGTTCATTTTCTAAAGTTAAAGTGTAACGTCCAGTATCACCACGGACAGAGAACGGAATTTCAAAGGTAGTTTCAGTATTAGTAGTATACATCTCGTGACGAGCATCGGCCATAATTTGAACTCCATCGCGACTCCATGTTGCCTTCGGTTTAGGTGATGCCACGATAGGAATGTTGTAACTAATTTTCTGACCCGCACGAACCACCAAGTCGTTCAGCAAGTGTGTATCGAACGAAGGAGCGACTGCAATTAATAACAAGAAATTATAAATATTGAAGAAAAATATTGTTAGTTACTCTAAAAAAAAAACAAGAATTTTTAATTTGTAGGAAAAGATTTATGTGCAAAAAGAAAACGTAGAAAAAGAATTTGTATATAATATCAAATCTAACTAAAAAGTAATCTTAATTCGAATTATTTCGATTAATTCGAAAATAATATTAATAGAAAGAATTATATTTAATATTATTAATACTTTTTTTAAATGTATATGTATGTAAAAGAACATTACATATGTATCAACTTAAAAAATATGTACTTTTAATATCTTTTTACAACAAAACTCTTTCTAAAATAATTTAATTATTTTATGCGATCAATTTCGATAAAAGTTCAAACTTACTGAAACGCGGTTTGGCAATGACCGGCATCGACGCGTCGGATGGATCGCCAGGTCCGCCCTTGTTGACAGCGATGACTCTGAATTCGTATTCTTGACCCTCAGTGAGATCCGGTACCCTGGCGCTAGTTTTATTTCCAGGTACTTCAGCGGCCTTTTCCCATTGTCCGAAACGAGGTCGCTTCTCGATGATGTAACCGGTTATGGGTGATCCACCGTCTTTTTCGGCGGTGCCCATTCGAGATCCACGTGATCCTTGTCCCAGTCGGTGGCGACTGGAGTGCCAGGTTTGTCCGGTTTAGCGAACGGATCTTTGGCAGTGATGGTGTCCATTCCGGTCAACGGTTGGGATTCGCCCTGTTTGTTGACCGCTCGCACCCGGAATTGATAGTCATGTCCCTCGATCAAGTGACCTACTTGCGCCGAGGTAGTATTAGCTTCGGCCACGGGTACCCAACGCATGTTCTCCGTGTCCATCTTCTCAACTTGATAGTACTGGATTTCGCAGCCGCCATCATCCTTCGGCGGTCGCCACTTCAGGGTACATCCGTTTTTGGTGACGTTATCGATCTTCAGCGGACCTTCCGGCGGTGAGGGCACGTCCATCACGTTCACCGTCAACGTGGCGGAATCTTTGCCGTTCACATTCTTGGCCACAAGCGTATAGACCCCAGAATCGGAGCGTTTGGCCTCCATTACGCGAACCTTGGTGTTATAATCTTCGTTGGTGATCTTAATACGGTCACTCGCCATCACTATGCTATCCTTCAGCGACCACTCTTTGCTTGGCGGTGGCTCGCCGATCACCGGCACATCAAAGTCGAAGAAACTGCCGGCGCGTACTTTCACGTCCAGCATATACTTCCTGTCAATCTTTGGTGGAACTACACAAAATACATAGTATGATTAATTAAACTGCATTAATTAATTAAACGTTAAGTGCAAAGATTACAGTATCAAATAGAATGTTTGATCAGTTCTTTAATTTCTTAAATTTCTAAGTTATAAAAATGTTGTGCTAAATTATAAAATAATATTCGATTTTTTCGAGTACACATAAATTTTGATAAATTGCAAACTTACGATTCTTGGGTCGTGCTATATGAGACTTTGATGCCTCTGATGGTTCACCAGGTCCAGCCTTGTTTACAGCTCTCACGCGGAATTCGTATGGAGTTCCCTCGACTAGATCATTGACTCTACCACGGTTCGTGTCGCCATCAACCTCAGCACATTTCTCCCATGTCGGACTGTACTTGTCGCGTTTTTCTATGATGTAACCAGTAATCGGTGATCCACCGTCTTCATCAGGACGATTCCATTGAAGTTCAACGAAGTCCGTGTCATAATCAACCACCTCGGGCGTACCTGGCTTCCCTGGTTCGTCTATAAAAGATAAAATAATACAAAAAATATAAAAAAATTGACATTTTTTGAAAGGTTTGACATCTTTTAAAAATTTTGGATTCTAATAAACTAGCTATAAGTAACTGGAATAAATATTTTGAAAATAACAAAAAAATCTTTAAAAACATACAAAATTAATATTTTAAAAATGTTTGTCTTACCGAATGGATTCTTCGCCTCGATGCCCTGCATGGCAGTGAGTGGCTCGGATTTGCCCTGCTTGTTGACTGCTCTCACTCTGAATTTATATTTGTGTTGTGGCGTCAGGCCCTCCACCTGCAGACTCGTTTCCGGTCCGTCGGTTTCTCCAGCCGGTACCCAACGACCCGTTGCCTCGTCCATTTTCTCGACGACGTACTTTTCAACTGGTTGTCCGCCGTCGTCTTCGGGCGGCTTCCACGAGAGCTTGCAGCCCTCGGCGTGCACGTCGGACGCGCGAAGCGGACCTTGGGGTGGACTCGGCTTGTCTATCACAGTTACCTTGACCGTGGCTTCATCTCGGCCGTTAATATTCTCAGCGATGACGGTGTACTTGCCGGATTCCGCACGCGTGGCCATTCGCACACTTAGGCTGGTGTTATAGTCCACGTGCTTGACTTTGACGCGATCAGTCGGTCGGACCTCCTTACCATTCAGCATCCATTTGGTGGTTGGCGGTGGCTCGCCCGTTACCTTGCAGTCAAAGTTGAAGTTTTGGCCGGCCTTGATTTTCACTTCGATCAAGTTAGTGCGGTCGATTCTGGGCGCGAGATTACGCGGTTTTGCGATGATGGTCGGCGTGGCGTCCGACGGTTCACCGGGACCAGCTTTATTCACGGCGCGTACACGGAATTCGTATGGCTGGCCTTCGATGAGATCTGGTACAGTGGCAGACGTTTCATCCGCGGGCACTTCCAGTGCCTTCTCCCATTCGCCGTACTTATCTTTCTTCTCGACTATATAACCGGTGATCGGTGAACCGCCATCGTTCTCCGGCGGGGTCCATTTCAAATCAACATGGTCTTTGTCCCAGTCAGTGGCTCGAAGATCACCAGGTTTGCCTGGTTCGTCTGCGAATAGATGCAAAAATAAGTTAAGCTAATTCTTTAAGATTGAAAAAAATAATATATTCGTATTTTGTAATTTATATTTGCGATGTCTTTGTTTAATTATAATTTATGTTTATAATGGACGTACCAAATGGATTCTTGGCTACTATTGTTTGTTCTGCTTCCAAAGGCTTTGATTCACCCTCGGCATTGACCGCGGCCACCCGGAAAAGATATTCTTTGCCAGGTGTTAGACCCGTCACCTCGAGAGCTGTAATAAATAATTCACATACTCATTTCAATATTCTGTATTAAATAAATGCTGTAAATCAAATTATATATTTCAAAATATTAAATAATTCAAAAGTATCATGAATACATGAAGTAAAAATAAAAGAAATACATACAACTTATTATCTATGGTTTATTGAAATAAGGAATTTGCTAGTATTAGTTTTATATCTTTTATCCAGTTAAGAAATCTGACTCACTTGGCTCGGTGGAACGTCCACAGGGTACCCAGCATCCGGTCTCCGGGTCCATTTTATCCACCTGGTAGTACTCGATGGGCGTACCGCCGTCGTCTTTAGGTCTCTTCCACTTCAGCTTGCATCCCTCCTTGTGTACATCTGACACTTGAAGCGGTCCCTCGGGCGGTGTCGGCTTATCTGTGACCGTTACTTGTACTGTCACCGAGTCCTTGCCCGACGAATTGCTGGCCGTGACAGTGTAATCGCCGCTATCGTCTCGCGACACCGGGCGTATGCTAAATTTGGTATTGTAGTCGGTGTTGTCGATCTGCACCTTGCGATCGGAATGAAGCGGTATCGCGCCATAACGCCACTCAATGTGCGGCGGTGGTTCGCCAATCACGTTGGCGTCGAATTTCAGCATCGAGCCAGCAGACAGAGTAACGTCCCTCAGATTGCGCCTGTCGATCTTCGGGGCCACTGCAATAAACAATTGGACAATCGGTGATTAAATGCCAATGTCAGATTTAGACAAGCATGCGGTTCATCAAGATTATTTTCGGAACGTGCGTACGCTTTGTGGTAACGATACAAGGATACTATTCTGCTACAGATCAATCGCTTGCGTAACTAAGATCATAGCTTTGAGCGCCAATTATTATTAAGGGAATATTTATTATAACTTTATGTAATATAAAAATAATAAAAAAAAATTATAATCAAACTAGACATAATTGAATTGTTATAAGAAGAAAATATTAAGCTTAATGCCAAATCATAAATATATAATTATATAATTTGAAAGATAATTAAGAAAATTAAGATAAATACTTACAGAAACGTGGCTTAGCAGTAAATGTCTTGCTAGCTTCGCCAGGTTCTGACTGGCCAGCCTTGTTTACGGCGATCACGCGGAATTGATAATCGTTGCCTTCTATTAAACCATGTACGAGAGCTTTGGTGACTGGCGTTTCGGTTTCCAAAGCTTTCTCCCACATAGTACTGTATTTGTCTTTCTTTTCAATAATGTAACCCGTGATAGGCGATCCACCGTCACTGACAGGCTCCTTCCAGGCGAGTTCGACCTGATTGGCCGTCCAATCAACCGGCTCTGGTGCTCCAGGTGCAGTTGGCACAGCTATAAAAATTAGATATAATATAATTAGCAATATTATATTATTTTAGACACATCACACGAAAAATAAAATTAAAAATTAATAGAAAGATTAATAGAAAAAGATTTTTGAATAAAGAAAATCTATGAATGAAAAAAAATATATTTGTGATAACGATATTAACAATACAAACTAATAAATTATATATTAAAGGTATTACTGACAAAAGTAAAATATTATTTTGAGGGATCATAAAAAATATTTCACTTACTAAACGGATCTTTGGCTACGATGGAGCCGAAGGTTTCCAACGGTTCAGATTCTCCTTCCTTGTTGAGTGCCTTGACTCGAAACTTGTATTCATGTCCAGGTGTAAGCCCTTCGACTTTCATTTCGGGTCCAGTAGTTTTACCAACTGGTAACCAGACACCTGTCTCTGGATCGAACTTCTCCACGAGGTAGCCTTCAATTGGTTCTCCACCATCGTCTTTAGGTTTCTTCCATTTAAGCGTGCATCCTTCCTTGTGCACATCGGATACCTCGAGTGGTCCTTCCGGCTTGCTTGGCTTGGCTAGTAAATAAATGGAATTTAGGTCTTAAATCTTATTTCATCAAAATTGTATTTATAAACTAATTTTATTGTACTTGTAAAATATATTAAAATTTGTGAAAATTACAGACAAATAAACTCACAGACAACGGTGACTTCGACTTCGGCAGTGTCGGATCCGTGTTGATTGACTGCTGTGATCTTATAAGTGCCACTATCCTTACGTTCAGGCTTGTCATTGAAGAATTTGCTATTATAAGGCACGTTCTGTATTCTGCGGTGCGTGGTCTGCTGGATACTCTTATTATTGATCACCCATGTAACATCTGGCGGAGGTTCGCCGATAATTTTGACATCGAAGTGGAAGGCTTCATTTTCGCGCACAGTTATGTCACGCAAGTTTCGTCTGTCAATCTTTGGCGCGACTGCACAATAAAAAAAAAAGATTATTACTATTTAAATAAATTTTTCTTTTCTATTAGTTTTTTTTTAAACAATTGGTTTAAAAAAACTTTTACATTAAAAAATGATTTTAAAACCTGACTCGAGATTTTTTTCATTAAAAGAAAGTATACTTTAAAAATTCTAAAAATTATTTAATAGGAGATTAAATTAAGATATCCATAAGTGATGAACTTACGTCTTCGACACTTGGCAGTAATGGGTTTGCTGGCATCGGATGGTTCGCCAGGACCGGCAGCGTTAATGGCTTTGACTCTAAATTCATATTCCACACCCTCATCAAGATTGTCGACACGGCCTTTGCAATCCGGTCCGGTCTCGCACGCTTTGATCCATTTAGGTGCGCCTTTCTCCCGTTTTTCAATCACATATCCGGTGATTGGAGATCCGCCGTCTTTCAACGGCGGAGTCCATCGCAGATCTACATGATCCTTGTCCCAGTCGGTCGCCTCCGGACGTCCTGGTGCACCAGGTTCATCTGTAAAACGTAAACAAAATTTATATTATTATCTGGATATTATTTATCTGGACTCAGAAATATAAATAAGATATTTTGATCATAAGAAAAATATAATCTTTAATAATTGTTAAAAACTAATTAACAAAAATTTCTTAATTTTCTTGAACTCTAAAAATGACGGAAAACAAAAAAGTATTATTTATGTAATATTCAAAATTTTAATGTAAACAGTTAAATTTAAAAGTTAAATAAAAGAATATCGTTGCAAGTACATAAAAAAATAAAACGTGCGAAAATAATGTTTAAATCTTGTCAAGAAACATTGGAAAAACTGAAGACTTTACCGAAGGGATTTTTGGCGACGATGCCGTGTTCAGTCTCCAACGGTTCGGATTCACCCTCCGCATTTACAGCCGCGACTCGGAACTTATACTCTTGTCCGGGCACCAAGTTCTCCACTGCCATAGTAGGTTCCTTGGTACGTGCGACGGGTATCCATCTTCCAGTCTCCGTATCCATCTTCTCGACCACATAATGATCCAAAGGTGCACCACCGTCATCCGCGGGTGGATTCCATTTGAGAGTACAACCCTCTTTGTGCACGTCGGATACTTTGAGTGGTCCTTCAGGTTTACTAGGCTTATCCAGCACCAGGATTTCGATCGATGCTTCATCTTTGCCGGAACTGTTCTCCGCCTTTAAAGTCAGCGTGCCGCAATGTGCTCTGCTCGCCGACGAGATTACGAATTTGGTCTTGTAGTCTTCCGTTTCGATAGTTAAGACATTGCCGGATTCCTGCTTAGCCTTGTTCAAGAACCAAGTCTTGCTTGGCGGCGGTTCACCCGTGACTTTAACATCCAATCGAATAATATTACCAGCCTTGATCGTGATGTCCTTCAAGTTTGTGCGATCGATCTTGGGCGCGGCGTAGCGATCCTTAGCAGTTAGGGTGTCGCTGGGCTCGCTAGGCTTGCTCTGACCACCTTTGTTCACGGCCTTAACACGGAATTGATATTTTTGGCCCTCCACAAGATCTGGCACTTTGGCTTCGGTTTTGTTGCCCGGAACTTCTGCGGCTTTCTGCCATTTGCCATACTGGTCTTTCTTTTCGATGATGTATTTCTCAATCGGAGCACCGCCATCCTTCTTCGGGGCTTTCCACTTTAGGTCCACATGATTCTTCGACCAGTCTTTCAACTCGGGTTTACCAGGAGCATCAGGCTCAGCTGTAAAACAGATATTTTAAAAGATATTATTATTATATTATTAATATGTATGTAATACATAAGAAGCAAGAATATTGAATTGTAAAATGTATAGCATAAAGTGTATAGTATATAGTAAGTTATACAGTATGTACATGAACATTTTGTTAAATTACATTATAATGTTAGATTTATTTATATAGATATGATAAATACGACTATTATGTTCAAGAAAATATTTTATGTGATAAAATTTTCTTAATTTAATATAATATAAGAAAGGTAAAAAGAAATAAATTTTTAAAATATATTTATAATTAATTTGAAATTATATGTATATTTACTAAGTTTCTATATAATAAATTAGAAAAGTAACTAAAAAAATAAATTGCAGAAATTAAGCAAAGAATAATGTAATAGATGAGATACTCACAATAAGGATTTTTGGCGGTCGTTGGTATTGATGTTTCCAAAGGTTCGGATTCGCCTTCGGAGTTGACAGCTTTGACACGGAATTGATAATCCTTACCTTCATTCAGACCAGATACGTCTGCCTCTGGAGTCTTACTTGTACCACATGGTACCCAACGCCCGGTGTCTACGTCCATCCTCTCGATGACGTAATGATCAACCGGTTCGCCACCATCATCATCAGGTTTATCCCATTTCAGCTTACAACCCTCGGCTGTCACGTTGGATACTTCGAGCGGTCCTTTTGGTTTGCTAGGTTTGCTTAGTACCTGATAAATATTGAAATAATTAATTAGATTTATATTCTTAAAAAATTCAATTTACAAAATTAAATTTGCAAAGTGATTGTTATACGAACCTGAATCTCAACGTCGACCTGATCGGTACCGCTATCGTTCTTGGCGATAACGGTATAAGTGCCGGCGTCCGAACGTTGGACTTTGTTAAGAATAAACATAGTATGATAGTCTTCGTTCTCGATCTTGAGTCGGTCCATACTCTTCAGCACCGTCTCTTTGCGTTTCCATGTCACGACTGGTGGCGGTTCGCCTTTAATATCGGCCTCGAGTCGCAACATCTGGCCAATTCGCATAACTTTCTTCTGGAGATTCTTACGGTCAATATGCGGTGCCACTATAAATAAAATTGATAATATTATAATAAAATCGTATGGATGTAATTGTAATAATTAAAATGAATTATAGAATGCTTACGGAATCGAGGCTTGGCGACGACACTCTTCGAGGTATCGCTGGGCTCGCCAGGCCCGGCCTTATTGACCGCCACGATTCTGAACTCATATTCATGACCCTCTTGGATACCATCGGTCACTTTAGCCGCCGTACGATCTCCCGGAACCTTAGCGACATCCACCCACTGTCTACCCTCTTTGTCTCGCATCTGTACAATATATTTCTCGATCGGCGCACCACCGTCGTCTTTGGGCGGAGTCCATTCGAGATCGACAAAGTCCTTGTCCCAATTCTTGAGTTCTGGTCGTCCAGGTTTGCCTGGTTCGTCTGAAATAAAAAATAATATATATTACAAAATGAGATAGATAAGGAAACATACATATTATTTCAAAATCAAATCTATTTTAAGTTGCTGAATTACAAACTTAATTTTCCGAATTTTGAATACGTACCGAAAGGATTTTTGGCTATGATAGATTTGTCCGCCTCTAAATCATCGGATTCTCCTTCTCTGTTGACGGCTTTCACGCGGAATTTGTATGGCTTGCCCTCCTGTAATCCGGTAATGGTTGCTTCAGGTTCGGTACTACGACCGCAAGGAATCCATTGTCCTGTGAGAGGATCCAGCTTCTCGATCTCATAGTATTCGACTGGTGAACCACCGTCATCCTCGGGTTTGTCCCATTTGAGTTTGCAACCATGTTTGTTAACATCGCTTACTTCCAAGGGACCCTGAATTGTAAAGAAAATATTTAATATCTTATTCGATTTCTGAGTCAATTTATCAAATAGACAATAATAATTTGCATTAGACAATTAGATAATTATTTTATTATCTTCAAATATTTTCTATTTAATAAATAATTCTTTAAACTAATTTTATTCTTTTTTCAACTAGAATTATATATTCTGAAATTATTTACATTTATTATAATATATAAATAATATGTGCATGATTTATATGTATATATGTAAAGTAATATATGTAAAGTTTGGATGCGTCCATAATTTATCATATAAAAGATAAAAAAACAAATTTTTACCTATTTAAATAAAATTTTACCATATTTAAATAAAATTTTTACCTTTGGTTTGCTGGGCTTGCCAAGAACGGTGATTTCTACTTCGGCAGTATCCTCGCCTACTTCGTTCTTCGCCTTGATGACGTATTTGCCAGTATGCGCACGTTTAGTCTTGAGAATAAAGAACTTTGTATTGTAATCAATATTGTCGATTCGTATCGTGTCGTCCGATACGAGTTCCTTGTCTTTGAAAGTCCAAGTGACTTTTGGTGGCGGTTCACCAATTATGTTCACGTCTAGAGTTACGGTAAGGCCAACCTTTATCGTTACAGGATTCAGATTCGTGCGATCGATGTACGGTTTCACTATAAAATAAAAGTTAAAAAATTAATTATTGCTGAATTTGCTTTTTTCACAGAGATATAAGATTTAACTTTTGAAGACAGATCACAACAAATAGAATCGCACATAAGATATTGTTCATGATAATTTCTTCAACGACATATTTTCATATTTTTAATCGTCCGTGATAAGTTATTGTAATTTATTAAAACAAATTAATACTTACACCAACGAGCTTTAGCGGTGTGAGGATTGGTGGCCTCGCTAGGTTCACCAGGACCAGCCTTATTAACAGCTCGTACTCTGAACTGATATTGATTGCCTTCTTCTAAACGTGGAACTGTGCCAGTACACACAGGCCCTTGCACTTCAGCAGCCTTGACGAAATTAGTACCAAACTTATCCTTCATCTCGATTATATACCCAGTAATTGGTGCACCACCGTCTCTTATCGGTGGCTCCCACTTAAGCTTCACCATGTTCTCCGACCAATCAATGATTTCTGGAAGTCCAGGAGCCGCTGGTGCATCTGAAACATTCAAAAAAAGTATCTTATAAGCTTTCATACTCTTTATTAATGATTAAAAAATTTAAAAAGTAATCAATCTAAGAATTATTAAAGAAATGAAAGAATTTTTAAATTCTTTTTCTTTAATAAAATATAATAATTTTATTAAACATTTTTAAAGAATAATGAGAAAAGCAATAATTAATATCATCTACATTATTAAAATAATGTATCAATACATATCTATAATAAAATTAATTATAAAAAGTAATAGTATCTCTAATTACAAATTTTTCTGTTGTTAAGAGAAATATTCTTCCTCTCTTTCTATCTTTCTCTTTCTTACGATATATCTATTATTATTCAATCTAAATAGAAATATATGTAAAAATAAAGACGTATGCGAATGTTGTAATCAAGATTAGATACTATACCGTATGGATTTTTAGCTACGACGCCAACGTCGGTTTGTAGAGGTTCCGATTCTCCCTCTTCGTTCACAGCCTTCACGCGGAATTCGTATTTATGGCCGGGCTCCAAACCAGTAAGCGTGTGTTCAGTTTTTTCAGGATCCACGATACCAGCCGGTACCCAACGACCCGTTGTCACGTCCATTTTTTCAACTAAGTAACCGGTGAGAGGAAGTCCACCATCGTCCTTCGGTTTATCCCACTTCAATTTGCAGCCCTCCTTGTGTACGTCGGTGACTTCCAGCGGCCCTTCCGGTTTTCCAGGCTTGTCTACAAAGTTTTACGTAAATACGTATTACATAATGTTTTTTCTAGTTGCTTTCAGCAACCTTGTTTGATATAATTTATATCATTTAATTTCAATATTTAGAATTAAATTTAAAAAAGAATATGAAATAATTTACTTATATTTCATTGGTTACATTGGTTACATTTTTTATTTCAATATTAAACAAAACAATTTATATCATAAATAATTCATATTGTTATAAAGACATTCGTTATAAAAAAATTCATATTGTTATAAAAAATTCGTTTTAGACATTTAAGTTCAAGAGAAATTCAAATTATATTTAAAGTTTACTCACCGAGAATATTGATCTCCACATCAGCCTCATCTTGTCCGGAATCATTCACAGCCTTGATAGTATATTTGCCAGTTAATTTGCGACTGGTATTTGTTAACTGGATCTTAGTAAGATAATCTTCGTTGTCGATCTTTACATTAGCTCCAGTTTGGAGTGGCGCATCAGCAAAACTCCATGTAATTGTTGGAGGAGGTTCACCTTCGACATCGACTTCTAATTTCACTAGTTGACCTGCCCTTACTTTAATGGTCTGCAGTTTATCACGATTAATGTGCGGTTTCACTGTAAAAAATAATATTTATACAGTATTGCATAAAATTATTTTGCTGTAATTATGAAAATTAATATTTTATATAAAATATAATAATTTAAATTTTAATGTTTAGAAAGATATTTAAATCAGAATATAAACTAAAAATAAAATTTAAAATAAATTTTAAATTAATTTCAATATTAAATTATATAAGTTAATTATAAGTTGTGACATGGCGTCGTGAGATCGCTCGTCACAAGGAGCGTTTGCTCCGATTAATTAAATCCCGCATCCACTCGTTTGAGGGGGGAGAGGCTACTGAGATACTATAAAATCTGAGATACTATTGAGCGTCAAAGTAATCGTAAACGATTCTGTTCGAGATTAAATCGTTGTCGAACTTCGTTGACTACCTCAATTGGTTATTGTTCATACGAAATCCATTCTTTTTCCTCCTCTCTCGTGCCCCGTTCCGTGAACCCTTCCCTCTATCGCATATAGAATTGAGTTGCCGAGCTACTGTCCGCGAGTCTTCGGTCAAATCGCGTGAGAAAATTATTAAAAATTTTGAGTGCGATTAAGTGACACCCAACATTCCGTAAACTGTGATCGCGACAATCTCGGAGCGCGGGATTGGAGTACAGTCGACGAATTCGAGACCGATTCCGGGGCAGCGATCACGATAAAGTTTTAATTTAATTTGTTACGTAATCCGCAAATATTTCGAACTTATGTATATAATAGGGAATACATTCAATTGTAATTAATTAATTAATTTGATATACTTACAGAATCTTGCTTTTGCAACGTGCGGCTTGGTTGGATCACTGGGCTCCGATGGTCCGGCTTTGTTAACAGCACGAACACGGAATTGATAAGTGGAACCTTTCTTCAAGCCGGTGACGCGACCTTTTGGTTGTGGTGAATCGGTGACAAGAGCTTCCTCCCATTGCGATGAGGGTTTCTCCTTCTTTTCAATAATATAACCGGTGATCGGTGCACCACCAGTGTCTTTAGGAGGTTCCCATTTGAGATCAACGCGATCGACGTCCCAATCCTCGAATTCCGGTGTTCCAGGCTTGCTTGTAACATCTATCAAACAAAAAATATATTTAATTTAATTTTTTAAAAATATAAAATATTAATCAACGTTATCAACTGAATATATTTATCTGTAAAAGTAATAAATTAATAAAAATAAATTATTTGTTTTATATCAAATTATACTTTGATAACAAAGCTTTTTTAGAATCACGGATTTTTTGGCAAAATTAATGAAATTTTTACCTAATGTTTTTTATTTTATATTAATTGATATTATTTTATTATATTATTTTTGATGTTTTTTCGGATAATTTAATTTGGTAAATAATTTTCCATCTCAATTTAGCAATATTGTTTTAAACTTACCATAAGGATTCTTTGCGAGCGTGGATCCATCTGATACAAGAGGTTCTGATTCTCCTTCGTCATTCAAAGCTTTCACTCTAAACTCGTATTCATGACCCTCTTGAAGACCCTTTACATCCATTTCAGTGTCTGCAGTACGGCCGACCGGTATCCATCTGCCTGTTGCTTTATCCAATTTTTCCACTTGGTATCCAGTGATCGGCTTGCCACCATCGTCTTCCGGTTTACCCCATTTGAGCTTGCAGCCGTTCTTTGTGACATCCGCGACTTTGAGTGGTCCCTTTGGCTTTCCAGGAGCCGCTATACATGAGAAATCATCGTGCATTATTTTAAATTAAAAAGAGAAAAATATACACAATTTATCTTGCCACAAAAAAATATTAGATTTAAATATACACAATTTATCTTGCCACAAAAAAAATATTAGATTTAAGCCACTCACATAAAATCGTCACTTCGACTTCCGCCTCGTCTTCGCCGTGAGGATTGACAGCCTTGATTTTCCACAGACCAGTGTTTTTACGCACACTATCAGTGATGGTGATCTTCGTGTTGTAATCAACATTGACGATCTCGATGTTCTCACCGGATTTTACTTCACTGCCGACGTGGTACCATGTAATCTCAGGTGGCGGTTCACCGCGCACATCTACGTCGTACTTAACAGTTTTGCCAGCCCGTACGACGATCGGTTTCAAGTTCGTTCTGTCAATTCTCGGTTTCACTGAAGCAAGCGAAATTATATAACATTATTATTTTATTATTTTCTACATAGAAATGAGAATAAATTTTGAAACGGTATTTCCTCCACAATTTTTTGTTCTAATTAATAATTATTAACACTTATTCATTATTAATTATAATTATACTGTAATATAACAATTATTAATTACAATTACAATCAATTATAATTATAATTTATATATAAATTTATTTATTTATTTATTATTATTTATATATAAATTTGATAAAAACTTACGAGCTTTATGCTTGCAGATCTGCATCTTTGATGCATCTGACGGAGGTGAAGATCCAGCTTTGTTCACGGCAATGACTCGGAATTGATATTCGCCTTTTTCTTTCAGATCGGGTACTTTGCCCTCAAGTTGATTTCCAGGAACTTCGATAGCCTTTTCCCAATCAGGCTTGTATCGATCCTTCTTCTCAATAATATATTTCTCAATTGGTGCTCCTCCGTCAAACTCAGGCGGAGTCCATTTCAAGCTTACAGATTCGTTATCGTAATCGGTGATTTCGGGCGTTCCAGGCTTCAAAGGTTCGTCTAAAAGAAAATCATTCAATTTAAGCTAGAATTTTAAATATAATGTTTGTCTTAATGGCACAATTATATACAATCATCTAAAAAAATTAAGACTTTATATTTGAATTAAAATACAAATTTAACGCTAAGTGTTAAAAATAAATGTTTACTCATGCAACTTAATATTTAATATTTTATATCTTAATATTTAATATTTTATATCTTAATAACTAAACTTTTAAATAGAATATTAGATAGAATATTTTAAAATTTTTAAGGGATAATTCTGTAAAAATCGAAATTTATTAATGTGATATTTTGATTAAGAAAAAAATTACTTCATGTATTAGTTGTAAAATTTATAAATAAATAATTGATAAAGTAATTTAAATATATATTTCTTCATTATTATTTACGATAAACGTTCAATGTATTATTTAATATAAGAAAAATATACCATATGGATTCTTGGCGACAACACCGCGATCGCTTTCCAAAGGTTCCGAATCGCCCTCGTCATTGACAGCTGTTACGCGGAACTTATATTCGCTTCCAGGATTCAAGCCAGTGATTTCAAATTCCGTATTTGGCGAATTTCCAGGCACTTTGCCGACTCTGACCCATTTACCAGTCTTCGTGTCCATTTTCTCGATTTCGTACTCTTTGATCGGCATACCACCATCATCTTCCGGTTTCTCCCATTTCACTTTGGCCGAAGTGTTGGTGACATCGCTAACTTCCAATGGTCCCTTAGGAGCATCCGGTTTCCCTATGTAAATTAATTTGATCATTAAAATTTTTTATTCATGTCTCTTCCCTATTTAAAAATTAATTCCTGCAGCTCTAATATAAAAATTAGATAGTAAAATATTAAATTGGCGAATATTATTAATTTATTAATAAATTATTATGTATAAAATAAAATGATTAAGTGAAAAGATATTTTTTAAAATTAGACTTACCGAGCACAGTGAGTTCGACAGTCTCTTCGTCTTTGCCGTTAGCATTTTCGGCAATCAAAGTGTACTTTCCGGTATCCTTGCGTATCGCATTCACGATCGTGAAGTCCGTGTGATATTCGACATTCTCGATCTTGATACGTTCGGTAGTAGTTAATGGGATATTATCTCTCCAAATCCATCTGGTCTCTGGTGGAGGTTCACCAGAAACATCCACAGACCATTTATGAGTGCGACCAGCTTTGATGATGACTGATTTGAAGTTGGTTCGGTCGATTCTTGGTCTCACTAAAAATTTTCCCAATTTTATTATCTATGAATTTCTCTCTTACAAATATTAAAGTAAACAGAATTATAAAATTCTAAATTAAGTCAGTAGTTAAAACATCTAATAAATTAAATCGAATTAAAGCAAATTAAATTATTAATTTATTTAAAAAATTAAAATTTTAAACGTATTGTTTTTAATTTTTAACACAAATAAATTTGAATTATTACAAGTTTGCTATAGTGTTTAGAACAATGCTATGAACAAATCTTTGGATAATTATTGAAATCGTGTCGATTATATGACTAAAGTACTTCAAGTACTTACAGTTCCTGTGCTTGCAAAGATGATTGTCCGTAGCATCGCTGGGCTCGCTAGGACCAGCTTTGTTGTGAGCACGAACGCGGAATTGATACACCATCTTTTCCTTAAGACCTTCCACTTTGGCTTCGGGAGTTGAATCAGTGGTCTTCATTACCTCAATCCAATCGGGGGAGAATTTGTCCTTCATCTCGACGGTATAATGAGTGATCGGCCTGCCACCGTCGCTCTTCGGTTTCTCCCATTTCAAAGACACACTGACGTTATCATAATCAAAGATCTGTGGCTTACCAGGTTTACCAGGCTCGTCTGTCAAAAGTATTACAAAATTGATTAATAATCAAAAATAATAATAGTATTTATTAAATTAATTTTATTTAATTACTTTTCCTAATTTTATTTTGCAAATTTATTTCTCTTTACGGAATAAATTTATTAATTGTTAAATTATTTCCATGCAGAAAAATTATTAATCATTGAAAAAGTTAGACATATCCTCACCATAAGGATTTTTCGCGAGAATAGCTTCCTCGACCTCCAAGGGTTCGGACTCGCCCTCCTTATTGACTGCCTTGACGCGGAATTTGTACTTCTTTTTGGGCGTTAAACCAGAAAACGTGAAAATCTTTTCATTAGGGCCAGTTTCTCCAGCTGGAATCCATCGTCCAGTGTCCAGGTCCATTTTTTCCAATACGTAACCCGTAATATCGGTACCGCCATTATCCTCCGGCGTGTCCCATTTGACTTTAACGTGATCGGAACGGACTTCCTCTACTTTGAGAGGTCCTTGCGGAATCGACGGTTTATCTGCAAAAGAATAATGAATTATATATTTTAAACAACATACATGTTTCAAACAATTAAAATTAAATTATCATAATAAAATGAACATTCTTTTTTTAATTTAAATTGCTTTAACTTCAAATGTCTAATTTTCTTTAATTAAATAACAGAAATATTTTATTTCCTAAATTTTATAAATAAACATTTGTTTAGATATAAATGTTTATTTTAAATTTTCATACAAAATTCCACTTAAAATTTATTTTAATTTAATCACGAAAATTGTGTAATTTGCAAAACTTTCTAGAGATATTAAGAAAATGTGATAGCTGAACTTACCAAGTACGACGACATCAGCGACGCTTTCACAAGTGCCGGAACTATTCGTCAGCACTAATTTATATTTTCCGGAATCAGATCTAGTCGTTTTCCTGACTGTCAATACAGTATTTCTTTCGTATTTGTCGATTGTGATTCTCTCGGCCGCGTCCTGAATGATCTCCTTTTGGCCTAGATACCAGTGCACCTCCGGTTCCGGTTCGCCGGCGTATTTGATGTCATATTTGATGATTTGGCCCTTTTTAACAATCAGGTTTGTGAGACCATCACCGACGATGTACGGCTTAACAAATCGACACTTGGCGATAATCGGCTTGGTAGCATCAGACGGCTCACCAGGACCTGCTTTATTCACCGCTCGTATCCTGAATTCATACTGCGTGCCTTCCTTGAGACCGTCAATAGTAGCTTGAGTTACGTCACCCTCGATTTCCTTGCCTGTCACCCATTCCTTGCCGAATTTCTCTTTATATTCGATTACATAGCCGGTAATGGGTGCACCACCATCGTTCTCGGGTTTTGTCCATGTTAAATCAGCATGATCTTTATCCCAATCAGTTACCTCGACATTCGTGGGTTTGCCTGGCTCGTCTGAAAGATATAAAAGTATCTTCGTTTAATTCTTTTATTTTATTTTTTTTTAAACATATTTATGAATTGCAAAATCTATATTAAAAATTTGTTGCGTTCAAATAAAATCATTTTATTAATATTTTCTTTAATTATTAAAAAGATAAACAGTTTTATTTTGCGTATGAAAGATGATATTAATTTTAATAGATAAATTCCAAGTAATCTGAGTTCGATAAAACTTACCCCATGGGTCTTTGGCTAAGACAGGTTTGGCAAACATTGCCGGTTCGCTGGAACCGAGTTTATTTACGGCTCGTATGCGGAATTTGTATTCTCTCTTCGCAATTAAATCTTCAACTTTATAGACACATTTCTCGCCCGTCATAACTTCGCCTACACTATCCCACTGAGATTTCAAGCTAAGATCGAGGCGCTCGATGACGTACTTTGTGATAGGTGATCCGCCATCATCCTTCGATGGCTTGAAGGATACGACGCAGGAATTCTGGAAGATTTCATTAACTTCGACGTCGTACGGCGCAGAGGGGACATCTAAAAGAAATAATTTGTAAATAAGATGTAAGATTTTACGAATAAATTTTATAATTTTACGAAAGTACGAACCTTGCATAACGATATTGACATCCTTTACTTCTTCGCCCTGGTTATTGCCGATTTTTATCTGATAGATACCAGACGACTCGCGTTGAGGTTTCTTGATCTTATACGTGACCTTATCCTCACCAACGACGATTTCGACGTCCTTAAGAGGTAGCGCTTTGCCATCTTTCATCAGCTTCGCTTCCACTTGACTCTGCTTGGTGCCCTCGACTATGGAGATCAAAATATTAATAAATAAATATAATATAATGAAATATAATAAAATAAATATGATTTTTTTCAATCCAACATTACTTCATCATAATTATTAAATTTATTGCTATTGTATCATGCAAGATATGAGTGATTACCTTTAAAAGGCACAACAAAGACCAATGGTGCGCTGCAGGGTCCTTCGACTTTGTCGGGGAAGTCGACGATGGGCTTGCTCTCGCCTTTCTTCACAGTGAGCTTGCAACTGCTCGTCAGTTGGCCGCTCTCGCACATAATCTCACCATCGTCCGTCATTTCCAGTTTATTAAAAATTAACTGATGTTTACCGCCACCTAGATTCTTGATCTCCACTCTCTCATTAGGTTCAATCTTCTCGCCGTTGAAGTAAAATACGGCCGGCGCGGTCTGATCCTGAAGCTCGACATCCAGCACCAGCTTTTCTCTCTCTACAGCAACGGTGTCCTTTAGCTTCTTATTGAAGCGATTGGCATCTGTAATTTACGAAAAGATATTTAATTATATGAGCTACTTTCTTATAAATAAACAAAAATATATTATATAAAGAATCTTATTATACTTACAGTTTATCACAATTTCAGCTTCGGTCTTATCCGCGTTACTCACGCAAGAGTAGAGCCCGGCGTCCGTGACTTTAATGTCTTTAATGATGAGCTTCCTTTTCCTGCCTTCTTCCTTGATTTGCACCCTGACGCAGAAATTATTTATAAAAAAATGTTCTTGAAATCAGAGACAGTGAAATTAAGAAATTAATTATTAATTTAGCTTAAAGAATTGTTTCATCTATTTAAAAATACCTCTTGTCAGGTGTGATCGCCTGGTCACCCTTGAACCATTGAACTTCACCCGCGGCATCGTCCAATTCGCAAAGTAAAGTCAATGTTTCCTTTTCTATCAGTTGCTGGTGTTTCAACACTTTGACAAACTTATAAGGATATTCTAAAAAGACAAAGTAATTTTCGTAAGAATTGAAAATTTTAAATAAAATCATACTCAATCAAGTTACAATTAAAAAAAAAAAAAATAGTACCTACCAACTATAGTAAGAACAGTTTCGGTTTTGTCTGTCTGCTTGTTTATCTTGCAAGTATATTCCCCGCTGTCTTCGAGAGTCGCGCTCCTTATCGCCAATCGACACACGCCGGACATGTCTTTGGAAATACTGTACTGGTCTCCATCCTGAAAAATATCAGCAAGATTTTTTTTAATATCGAAATACATTTCGAATATTAAAAATTTATTCAAAAGTTCGATTATTAAAGATTTATTCAAAATTTTGTACGTAATAAATTACCTCGAGTTTCGTTTTGCCTTTGTACCAGGAAACTTGCGCCATATTGGAACTGACTGTACATTCCATATAAGCTTCATGCTTGGTAAAGCCGCTAGTTTTCTTCGACAACGGTTTCAGGAAGCTATACGTCGGATCGGGCTCTAAAATTTAAAAAATACACGAATAAAAACATTATTTAATATCAAATGTATATATAAATATAAATATATATGTATAGATCAGATATGTGTCAAACAGACAATAGGTAAATTCGTAGCATTACGCAGGCAGACTTTTATTTAACTCGATTATTAAAGAGAAAATTTATTAACATGTTACGTACCATCTACATTAAGGAAAGCCGTGCTCGATACACCGGCAATTTCGATTGTGTATTTTCCAGTGTCTTCCACTTTTGGTGGAGTGATTATAAGCTGATAGCAATCTTCCTCATTTTTGAATTTGTATTTCGCCGATGGGAATAATTCCTGCACAAAAAACAAATTATTTAGCATAAATTTCTTCAGTCTTTAATTCCATTTTTCTAATTATTACAGAAATGCATTGCATAGAATGTTTCAATTAACAGTTCACAAAATATGAAAATATAATTAAGTAATTATTTCTGGAAAGAAACACTTACGTCTTTTCGGAAGAACCACTTCGGCTTGGCGTTCGGTTTCGAAAAGTTCGCTTCGAAGACGACCTTCTTGTCTTTGCCTTCCTTGGCGTATTGGTCCACCAGTGGCTTCAGGAAACTTTCTTGTTTCTGCGAAAGAAAAATCACTGATTAACTATAATCATATTCGAAAATTCAGCCGGGAAATCCAATTGTTCAACATCGACAGCGATCACTTTGACAGGCTATAAAAAGATGTAGTAGGAAAAATCGGCGGAAAATTCGAAAAACAACATTGTCTCTCCGTACGAGCAGAAGAACGGAGAGCGAGAACGACGAAAAAAGGAATAAAAACGAACTTTTTCTAGAAAAGATTCTAGAAAAAGAGAAATCTTTTAATAAAGACAAACATTTTTAAAAGATTCGATCGACTGGACAAGCTTGTTTTCAAGCCTGTGATTTGTCATGCTTATTATTGTTAAGATTTGTTAAACGATTTTGAGGAAAAGAAGAATGGAGAGATTTCCTCAAAAAAAGTAAAAAAAAAATATTCGCCATTGCTCGAGCAAAATGCGCGAGAAAATAATTACTGGAGAAGGCGTTGCTTATGATACATTCAAGAGACGACATCGACGAGAAAAGATATTATTTGATGCTAGGGAAGCTAACTGTGAGTATTTTACATAGCATTTTAATTATATTATAATTTAAATATATTTACTAAATCCAAAACATTTAAGAAATGATTTTTGGATAAATAATATTTAATATTAAATAGTGACTTGATAATCAATATTGTGCGTAATATTCCAGCTTCAAAAAATATTGTAATATTGTAATATTGTAATATTCTACATAATTTATTTTAACTTTTAGATAATAGTTTAAAAAAAAATCTTTAAAAAATGCAAAATTTGACTTATTAACAATAATTTAACATTTTTTTAATTATGTTAACCATTTTTTCATTGCACAAATTATTCACAGATTAGGATCCCTGCGAGTAAATTTTAAAATTAAACAGAATGTGCTCTCGGAAAATTAAACAAGTATTAGAAAAAGTGAAGTCATAGATCGAGTCAGAAGATGCAAGTGAGAAGCGACGTAATCTTGATCATAAGTAATTAATACAATAAAATTTATTGAAGGCAGAAGAAAATATAGAATTTGGGGGCGAGGCAATTAATTAAAAGAATCGTCGAGAGCGAGTTCTCGAGCGAGTCAGAAAGAGAAGATAGGCAGATCATCGAGTTTTGGAGACTGTCGAGGCAACAGCGACAGGCACACAGATCAATATCACGTGAATTTATTGATGGAGAATTCGATTCACATGAGAATCGGTCCAACCTCCGTCTTGGTGAAGTGATGCAGGATTGGCCAGTCGGGTATTAATTCGGCCAGAGACGGCCTACGCGATCCACTATTCTAGAAACAAGAAAAGGCACATCCGCGATCACAGAATTTTCTCGGAACATGTCATCATCGATCTTGCTCGCTGATCGCTTTCAGCGGAGAATTATGGTGGGCTTTTATCTCGAATTTAGTTGTCATTGCTAGCCTTATTCGTGCTTGACTTCGTAAATTTTTTGAATTTTCTTAATAAATCGTCACTATTCGTTATTAACAATTATACATGATTACCTTAAAATGCTTAATTAACTTAAATAGTTACAATCATTAAATAATTATAACATATTAAATAATTACACTTATCATAATGATTAAATCGTGTTAAATTGTTATAAAATATTATTAGAAGTGCAACGTTAAATATTATTAAACGAAATATATAATTATTGTCACAAATGTTTAGTTATTTAAACGTCGTAAACGTTGCTATTTTTAGTAAATACATACTTTTCGTTCACCATTTTTATTTACAGTGACTTTTTTGCAAGTTTTTAGAGTCATGAGTGAATCATATGACTAACAGAGCCAAGTGCGATAACAAGGAACGTTATTTGAATAATTTATTTTTTTGTTTAAATAATGAAATTATATGTTGATAATGATCTAAGTGTGATGTTATGTATTTTAGTTCGAAAACATTCATGAAAGCATGTGCATGCGTGATGATAAGCGTATGTGATAATAAGCCTCATTTTTAATTAAGCCAAGCGTGAGAAGCGTGAACAATTCAGCTGCAATTTTTATTGTGTTTAGTCTTATTAAAGTCTATGAATAGTATCTCCATATTTACGTTCGTGTCTTCATTTAAAAAAAATTTTAGAGATTATTTAAAAAGCGCAGGCCAAAGGGATCTCTCAATCGTAAATAGTCGCAAGAATTTCGAAAAAAATTTTGAAAAAAAATTACAAATCCTAATGTAATTCAATATCGTTTTTTGCGAAGCCTAATTGGATCAAATGTAAATCTAAAATAAAATTCTTGCGAATAACTGACTGGCTTTCGTTTTTATTGATTTATTCGGTTTACATCCTCAGTCGGATTGATGTAACCTGCCTTAATAAAACAAAGAGATCAATCACATTACTTTGAACATGTCGCGCAAGAGCCGATCTCTTTGCTGTGTTATAACAACACAATCTTTTTATCTTATCTCGCTCAAAGGGTCAAATTTACAAAATCCAAAGAACAAAGGGTATTCTGGCAAATTATAATCATAGAATATTGAAACGCAAAAAATTTCACGAAAAAATTTTTTTCTTATAATTTTCCTAATCCGTAAAATTTTAAACAATTTTTTTACACAAGATAATTTATGCTGTGTATCTTAATCCACTGTTCAGCTCAAATTTAATTAACCAGAATACCGCGTAGGAAATAGAAGCCTTGCGGGACAGTTCTGCTCTCTGTTTCGTGGCTTTTTGGAATCTAATGCAAGGATTGCATTGCTTTAAGATTTTTTTTTTCGCGAACCTTCTCCTTGGCGTGTGTCGCTAGTTTTGGCCAGTCGACGATTAGCTCCTGCAAACTTGGCCTGCGCTGAATGTCGAAGATGTCCTGCATGCCCGGCACACACACATCATGGTTAATGCCACTCTTATACAATTAGCCAATTCCGATCATCAAAGAACTCTGATTTAAAGGAAGATTCGATAAAAATGAAAAAGCTCTGAAGAAAAATGGTGTTAAATAATTTCTCCTAGTTTTATAATGTGTTTTCTGTTATTAATCCTTTTTGATTTATATCTATTATTAATGTTTTATATGTAATTGTTTCCATAAAGCAAACTTTATAGCTATATTGTAATAACATTAATTTTTAGTACTAGAATCTAAACATTATTGATCAATTATATCAGAGTTCTTTCTATCATTTCCTATAATACTTTTATGCATTTAGAGATAATGCTTTTCTTCTAATGTGAGAAGTGTCACATGCAATAAGTTCAGAATAACATCAATTTTTATAGTACAAAGTAATTCATATACAATTCATACACAATAGTTCATATAGTCATAATAGTCACAATAGTTCATATTATTTTTTTTCTACTAGCAACTTTCAGGCTTTTCAGTTCGTGCTTGCTTGTTAATAAAAAAATGTATAATAAATATCAAGATATACAACTAACCCTCAGTTTACGTGTGATAAAACAATTTTTACAATAAAATTTTCATTTTATATATATATTAATCTCGAAATTATATTAATTCCTCATAAAGTTTGATCTATCAATATAGAATTTATCTAAAAAAATCAAAAGAATAAAGAGGGATAGATGTAGTGCAGCGAAGTGCAGCATTAACTCTAAACTATACATGAAAGTGCATATGTTAAAAGTGAAAAAGAAAGTTACGTCGCAACAAAGTAATAGCACGGGGAAATAGAGAAATTATATGGCATAATCAGAATTTATAATTATGTCGCGAGAGTAGAGTTTTAAATATTTCGACAACGGCTCAAACATCTACTATTCTGTAATTCTTTCTCATTTTCTAATTATCGTTGTAAAATTATTTATTTAAATTTTAACATTTACGAAAAGAAAAATTGTAAGTTTTAACGTGTCGTCAGTGTAGGATCATCATACTGTCATCGTCATTATGAGGTTTATTAGATCGCTCGGAAAAAAACCTTAAGCCAGCTCCAGTTAGTTTCACCCTTCTTGACGAGGGAAATTCGAAAGATCTCCACACCCGCTATCACGATGACTATTTCCTCGCCATCTTGAAACCACTCGATCCATGTAGCTCGCTTCGTAATGACTGAGAGACAGGAGGTAGATGGA